TATATATCTATATCCTTATATATTTAGAACTAATAATAATTTCTTATTATTTAATTATAAGTGATTTTAATTTCAAAATATTCAAATATAATATTCAAATAGTTATTATAAAGAACTAATTCTATTTTTATTAATTTTATAACTAATAATAAATGATTAATATTCTATTTATTTTTTTTATATAATTTATAATTTTGTATAAAATATTTCTTCAATTTTACTAGTAGCTATTTTCATTTTTTTTTTTGAGAATTTATCAAATATTATCAGTATATTAAGATAATTATATAATTCTACATAGTTATTCAAATTCATATTTTGTTATTTTCTTTTTTGGATATGAATGATATTCTAGAAAGTGAATTAATATTTGAATAAATTCTACTAGATTTGTATTCAATTTTAAAATTATATTCACATAAAGTTATTATTTAATATACTAGTCTTTCAAAAGAATTTGATTTGTTAATTAACTACTTAAGTACTAAATGATCAGTATTTAATATGAATAGAATATCAGATAATAGATAAAATTTAAATAATTTAATCAAATTATTTCAAGATATTCTAATTCTGTTATGTTATACTTATTTTTTTTCTTATTAACTCTTCTACTAGTATAAATGATTATATATTTCTTCTTTTTACTATTATATTATACTAATATAGTATCTAATTCAAGTTCAAAAATATTAATAAAAAAATAAAAGATTTTGTAAAGTTTAAATAAGTAATAATTAATAGTAATATCAAATACTTCTTGAATAATTCAAAAGCTTTTTATTATTTTTCTATTTACCTAAATTCTTTATTTTTTTTGAATAACTTGTGTAGAGAGGCTGTTATTTTGGCAAAATCTTTTATAAATCTTCTATAATAAGAAGTAAGTTTAACAAATTCTCTTAATGAATTGATATTAGTAGATACTAGAAATTCTTATATCTTTTTTATTTAACTAGATTAGGATAAATACTATCTTTTCTAATAATATATCTCAAGAAGAATAATTAATTTTTTTTAAAAGTATATTTATTTGGTTAGAACTTCAGATTTACTTGCTAAAGTTTTTTTAAAGTCTTTTGTATATAACTAAATATTTTTTACAGATTTCAGAATATATAGTAATATTATTAAAATATAGAATATTAATGAGTTCAAATGGCATAATATTAAAGTAAAATAGATCTTTATTAGTGATAAATACAATCTTTTCTCTATTTCTTGAATATATTTTCACTTGTTAAAATTCACTAGTAAGATCTATAATAATAAAGTATTTAGTATTTTTAAAAAAATTTAGAAGTTTATCAATTCATGACAGAGAGTATTAATCTTTTTTTATTACTTTATTTAACTTTCTGTAGTCTATATACAACTAGAACTTTCCATTTTTCTTTCTTACTATAATTATTAATACAAATCAAGAACTTTTAAAAGAGAAGATTATGCTATTATTTAACATTTTCTGAATTTCTTCTTTCAAGAAGATATTTTTTATAGATAATTTCTGATAATATAGTCAGAGAATAATTAATCTTTCTTCTTTTAAATATATTTAATATTAAAAAATATTGATTTAGCCTAATTATGTTATATTAAAAAGATCTTTAAAGAAATCTAGAACTTAGTATAGTTATTATTATTATTCTAAATTCAAGTCTAATTCTATTATAGTTGAAGTAATATTTAGTAATAATTGAGATAATATCACTAATTAATTATATATATTTTATTTAGTCTTGCATTAAGAATATCTATATTCTTCTCTACTATAAATATAAGTATTATAATTCTCTAATCTTTTTTATTAAATTCTTTTTTTTTCTTCTTGTTCAATAATTTTATTATTAATTTTTATAAAATTCTTTTGAATCTCTATTTTTATTATAAGCTACTTACTTTATTCTTCATATATTATATATAGTGATTAATCAATCAATTCTTCTTTTTTATATTTAAATTTATTATCTTTATTATCAGAAGCAGAATCTTTTAATTTTCTTTTAAGATTAATTAACTTCATAATTGATCTCTATTATGTATAGGTAACTGAAATAATTATAAACTTTTCTTCTATCTCAAAACTTAAAAGTTTATTATCTCAATTCAAAATAATTTTAGATTACTTTGCTTATTAATTATTAAGCAATAGATCATATTCTGTTTTTTTTATAATTAGAATATCTATTTATTAATTTAGATCTTTAATTTTTATTTTTAATTCTTTCACTTTATCTAGTGATCATTCTGATTTTCTGTTTATTTTAATAAGACTGACATTTAAGAGTTTATCAATCTTTCTGTTTATTTATTTTAGAAATTTAACTAATATAATATTATTATAAACTATACTCTGAAAGATAGATTTTATCACAAATATAGTTTATAATAAGTTTTGAGGGTGAAGACTGAATTATTTATAAAGGTAAATGGGATTATAGTTATTCTAAAGATTTTCTAGTACCAATACTTATGAATATTATATTAATACAAGACAAAAATGAAATAGAATAAAAATATAAAAATGAAGGTATGATCACGAATACTAAACTAAAAATAAGATATTTAAAACTAAAATAATAAATATTATAACTACAGTCAAACTCTTTTATAAGAATATGATATATAAGAATATTTGTTTATAAGAATCTTATTTCTAAAAACAAATTGATTTTATATATAATTTAACTCTATATAGGAATATTTTAATAATAAGAACATAGAATATATTGTTTAGTCCTAGTTCTAATTAGCCTTCCTCTTAATAAGAACATAGCACGTAACATTATAATTTATAAGAATATAAATATATTATTCAGTTTCAGTTCTAATTAGTTTCTCTTCAAATAAGAACATAACACATGATATTAATCATAATTAGCCAATCATATTTATTAGTAATTTAGCAAGATAATAAATTAGTGAAAAATTACCCTTGCTACTTGCAAGGCTCTTCATTGGAACTTTTTTATATGGTATGCTTTAAATCTTTTCAATTGCTCATTTTATCTCAATTGCTAACAATTTCTTATATCCTTACTCTATTTTTACCCTATTCCTGTTCTTAAATAATTTTATTTATCCATTTCTAACTAAAACACTTCATTGCTGTATTTTTGTCTTTTTTTTTGGTCTTCCTATTATAATATGCTATCTAAAGATCCAATTCACAAGAAAAAAAAATGTGCAGTACTTAGTGATATTATGTGCAAAGAAATAAGCTTATTCTGAATCAAAGCATCATCAGGTACTTACCATGAGGATGTAGTTAACCATTTTAATGAAAAATACTCTGGTCTCAGTATTACACAGCCAACTGTTACAAAAATATTAAAAAAGTTAGACCACTGGTATAATATTAACTTGGGTAAAATGTCAGAAATAACTTACAAGCACCATCCACAAAAATTTTCCTTGTTAGAAAGAGTCTTGAATTTTTGGATTAATCAAGTATCTGCTATAAGGTTAATTTTAACTGAGATACTTCTTAAAGAAAAGACTGGATATTTTGCCATTCTTTTTGGGTTTGGTGAGGATACTCTTTAATGGACAAATGATTAGATGAGAAGATTTAAAGTGCATAATGATATAAAAGCTTTCTGGCTTTATGGTGAAGCTAATTCAGCACCAATTAAAAATTTACCTGAAGAAAAAAGAAAATTGCGTAAGTTGTTATCACAATATAAAACTGAAGATATTTACAATGTAAATAAAACTGATTTGTTTTACCAGATGACTCCAAATCAAACTCTTGCAAAGTACCAGACTGCTGGCAAAAAAATAGTAAGTTTTTAAAGTTTTTTTATTTATGCCAATATTTTCTCTTACTAATACATTAATTATATTTAGGATAAAATACAAATTACTGTTTTGTTAGCTACAAATATCACTGAAACTTACAAACTTAAATCTCTTATAATTGATACTGCCAAATCTCCACATTTATTCAAGAGAATTAATATTTCCTCATTATCTATTATGTACCAATACAACTTAAATGCGTGGATGCATATAGAAATCTGGGAAAGTTAGTTAAAATATATTGATAAGAGTTTTCGAATCTAGTAATAACATGTACTTTTGCTTGTTAATAATGTTCTGTCATATAATATAATCATGAATACAGATAAATCAAGTAGCAATATAGATGATTTATCTGAGATAATAGAAGAAGATAATGTTAGTTTATTAAGTGAGAAAGAAAATAAATCAATTACAGAAAGTTCTACCAGTGGTCACAGAAAGCAAGATCGGTCATGAGGACGAGTAGTTACAAAAAGCAAAAAAAAAGGCAAGAAAGCTCAGGTTACAACTAAAAATTCTTCTCAGCCATCACTCCATCTCATAAACATCCATGTTCATTATCTTCTGCCAAATACAACTGCTTACTTGTAACTGCTTGACATGAGAATTATCAAGTTCTTTAAAGCACACTATCATCAGTATTATTACTATCACATTCTAGATCAATTTGAGCATAGAATTAACATTGCAAAGTATGTTCTATAATAATTTTAATAAAAAATTGAAAAATCAGCAGACAAATCAATTATGATCTGTCTGACTTTATCATTTATTAATTTCTTATTTCTAACTTATTTTCTGCTATTTTTCTTCATTCACTCTACTATTCCTCTTCTCTTACTCCACTATCCTCTTCTCCTATATCATCATTCTCTTCTCACACTCTACTATTCTTTAACTTATCACTCTTTTTCTATGTTTTTAGGAACAAATTGAATATAAAACAAGTAATTGATTATACTTCTCATGCTTGAAATGAGGTTATATAAGAAATAATATGAAATTACTAGAATTTAACAGGAATTCTTCCTGAAACTAACATTACAGATACTCAAGTAAATGATATGTTAAATAAAGCTTTAGATACGTAAAATGAGATTCTGAATTCTTTACATTACCTTGATACTACTGATCAAGCTGTTCAACATCTTGTTCAAGATATATAAGTATATATTAATGTTATTAAAGAGCCTATTATGACAAAAGAATTGCTTGAGGATAGTGAAATTATTAATATGCTTCAGGCTGATAATATGATAGAAAATGACATACTTAATTTGAATAAGGAAAATGAAGAATTTCTACCACCTCTCATATCTGTAATGGAAGTGAATAATATATTGAAAATTCTTATCACATTTTATAAATAAACAGAAACTATATTTAGTAATGATAAGGTAAAAATATTACACAAAAAGATATTAATTTTTGAAGTAATAAAAATTAAAGTAAAAAAATAGATAAGTTTGAATGCTTGGCGAGTTTAAATAATAATTTTTGTATGAAAATATGTTAGCAAGTTTTTTTATTAATAAAACTCCTATATAAGAACTTTA